TTAATGAAACTTTCAGAACGTAATCATATTGTTTAAATGTGTGTATATTCCGAAGTCTCTAGCATTAGAAATACGCCTTTTACAAATTTTAGGGTTAGCGGGTGGATATGGGAGTGAGGGTAAATTTGATCGAAAATCGAAATTTTATAAAATGCATCTTAATATACATTTTGAATTTGGAGACTCTAGCTTTAAAGATGGTGTAGATATAATTTAATAACTGAGTTTCTATAAGTTTTTATCGATAAAAATATCGGAAGGAGTTATCGTGATTACCACGATATACGGACATTCTAAAAAAAATTCAAGTCTCTAGCTCTTATATCTTTTAAGATCGACGCGTTCAAATATACGTACAGATGGACAGACAGGCAGACGGACAGGGCCAAAGGTATAATAATATATACATATACATATATTTAATATATATACATATTTGTATATACATTCATGCTAATAATATTCTTACAGATATTGGAACTAATTTTTACCATGCACAAGAGGATGATTGGGCTTTGGGAACATATTTTGATACCTACGTAATAATAATGATATATATGTTTTTCCCTATTCTGGATATTCCCCCAGCAATGGGTCTTGCAGCTATTATTTCCGCAATATATATTATTTATTATGCAATATTTTTAGCCAGTTTAGGTTTAGGTGAACATTCACGATTTGGCGAGATTATCGAAGTTCTATTCTATTATATTTCCCTAAATATGATGTGCACATATTTTTTGATAATGCGCGAGATTGTAGTCCGCGCCTCGTTCATTGATCGACATCAGTATGTAATGGAAGACATTGCGCTAAAGAGCGCTCGTGCGACGGAAAAAATATTCCTCCATACCATATTACCGCGTCAAATAGCTCAACCAATTCAAGATGAAATTCGAAATCGCATTAAGATCTCTCAGAAGCATCACGATCTGCCCTTTAATAATCGAAGAGATCGGGTAATCGCCATACAGATGCATCCCGATGTCAGTATTCTGTATGCGGATATTGTTA